GCTTGTAATTCTGGAATCAGCAGCCTCGCTTGGAGATTTACCTTTGCTTTCCTTTGGCCTTGGAGCCGTGAACCTGGAAGGTCTTGATGTGCTTTTCGCTCTGCTTTGCTTAGTAGCCCGTAGCGTGTCTTGGGTCAGGTAAAGTTGAACTGGGAGGACTTTAAACGTCAGCACTCGCGTCAAGATGCTTTGCACCAGACTTTTGGGAGGTTCCTCTAGATTGTTTGAAAGCCGGAAACGTGCGTAGACATGTGTCAGCGAATACGAACAGGACCGTAGTCGTCGCTCCATGTTAAATGAAGCGAGAGACCTTTCAGCCAAAATCGTTAAAATCATCCAAGAGGAATGCACTTCCTGTTTGGTCGAGCTGTACATCGATAAAGCTCCCAGTTTGCGCAGTCGTGCGCGGAGTTTCTTGTGCAGGCGACGACCTGGAACGCTATAAGACGAAGCTATTCGTCGGATTGCACATGAGTAGTCTGGACCCACTTTCGTCATCCGTTTTTCAGGATGAACGGGTAATTTAAAGGTGGATTCCACCTTTGAATAAGAGCGAGTTCCAATGTACGAATTTGACGAAGAGATTGCATCGTCGCTAAAGGAATAACGATGAGATGCCCGAGGCACTGGTGCGAAACCTGCCAATGCAGTACAAGCTCAGCATGAACCGGTTTCAGGTCCATGAGCTGGCGAAGCTTCCTGAGACGGGTATCCTGCCTCTTCTGGATAGAAACAGTAGTGGAGCCAACATAAAAGTCTGGCCCCATCTGGAAAAAAGGCTCAGTTTGAGCGGTGGTCAAAAGATATGCCGCAGAGGGCTCGAGAAACATGCGGGCAACAGAATTCGCGGAAATAAAATTCCGACCATGGAACCCTTCAAACTCTTGAAATCGTTGGCGCCAACGAGCCAGTTTTCCCGTGCCAGTTTGGCGAAGAAGAAGGAGAACCAACACCACAAAAGCACCCAACACCCGATAACCAAACCGCCAAGGCATGAACTCTGGCTCGGTAATGGCAGCCTGTAAGCAAGTTTTCGACATCGAGAGGATGGTTTGCATCTTTTGTCGACAATCATTGTCGCGCACAAGATCGCGTTTTTATCCTCAAGTCAAGATGCCAGGGCACACGCTGCCAAGACAATCTTCAAAAGATCGGCCTCTTTGGCTCCCGAAAGTAGGCGGGCAGGAAAAACAAAGTCAGCAGCTCTTTGCGGCAAGACTTCTTTATCTTCATGAGAAAGTGTTTTGATGGTAGCATTCGCTGCTTTGCAGCTTTGCAAAAGCTCTTGTTTTAGCTTAGACTTCAAGTTCAAATTCTGGACCCACTTTGTTGTTGACTGGGGAACTGCAGAGACAGGTGCTTGATCTTCAAGAACCCGCTGAGCTGGAAAATGCGGATCAAAAGCTTTCTGAAGCAAGGTTTGAGTCGGATTCTTCGACTCGCTTCTCGACGGACTGGCAATGGGCAGACGTTTCTTTCTCGGTCCATCAGTAGACTGAGTTGCTTCTGTGGGCCTTTTCTGCCCTGGCTTTACAGAAGAGCTGGCCGCTGGGGCTCCTTTCTGTGCTTCGACAAGCTGTTGCTCGAGTTCGCGGATGCGATCCTGAGCATCGCAGAGTTCCTTTTGCTGAAACTCTTTACATTGGTCAAAAACGTACTCACAAAAGTGCCGCATTTTGGCACTTTTTTCAGAGGATTCATTCTCGTTGGCATTAATCTTGATGCCTTGTTGGTCACAATATACAGAAGCATACAGATCCAGGTCCGCTTTGCTTTCCCGGAATTTCTGCATCAGAAACGACATGAAAGTAGCTTCTTTGATGGATCGAGCGAAAAGTATGCTCTTATACCGGCCTTGGGCCAGGCTGCATAGAGAAAAATTATTCCATCCTTGGCAGCATACTTCATGCAGTTTGATGGAAGTTAAGTCTCTGCCAGCAAGCCGATGCTTTTGAGCCCAGCTGGATGCCTGTACCTGGCGAGGAAATTGCAATCCATAGACCTCATTGGTGTCGTAGAAGTCACGATCACTTCGAAACGTTTTTGGAAGATCAGTTTCATAAAGGGCCCTGAGGGCTTCCAAACTCTTTAGTTTTCGGAGCGTTGGGAGGTGTGGACGGCACTGGAGGGCGCTGTTGGCCCCAGGTTCCGTTTCTCCAAGAATCCCATTCCTCTTGAGTCCAAGACATGCTTGGATGTAGCTGATTTCCGGAACGTCGGAAATAATCAACGAGACAATCAAGATGTCAATCACGAATTCATTCACGAAGTTATAAAGAATCAAGAAGTCATTCAATTGATCAGCAGCATTCAAAGATCCTTTGAATCCAAAAGCTGCATTCAATGTCTTGAGCTGTTGTATCAAGAAATCATTCAAGTTGCTACGCCCGGCCCTTTGACAGAATGCCGGTCGGGAACACACTTGCAAACTCCATGGTGGGAGTAGCTAGATTTACTTCAATGTACAGCAAGGATCCTCTCGGGGTTCTTGGCTTAGCCCCTTGCCATAATCGCTTGCAGGTACGTGATCCCAGCGTCCCAGGATCATATCACACTCAGCAGACAGGCGTCTTCGTTGGCCTGAGTCCTGTCCGTGAGCCTCAGGCCCCCTGCTTTTTGTTCCCTTTGCTATCAGGGTGTCACACACACACACACACACCCACACCCACCCACACCCACCCACACCCACCCACACCCACCCACACACGCACCCACACACGCACCCACACGCACCCACACAAGCACCCGCACTTACCCACACATGCACCCACACGCACCCACACATGCACCGACACGCACCCACACACGCACCCACACGCCCCACACGCACACACGCACCCCACACCCACCCACACCCACACCCACCCACACCCACACCCACACCCACACCCACACCCACACCCACACCCACCCACACCCACACCCACACCCACACCCACACCCACCCACACCCACACCCACACCCACACCCACACCCACACCCACACCCACACCCACACCCACACCCACACCCACACCCCACACCCACACCCACACCCACACCCACACCCACACCCACACCCACACCCACACCCACACCCACACCCACACCCACACCCACACCCACACCCACACCCACGCTCGCAACACAGGCATCATTTGTAGTCGGAGCTGTTTGGTTTTGGATATGGGATGTAAACAGAAGTAATTAGATGCAACCATTGCAGCCATGTGGTGTCATTTATGGAGAAGCAGTGTTACCTCTTTTGCCGAGTTCCTTCGGTGGTGCTGATGGAAGAAAGCGTCTGCCAGAGGCAGGCATCATGTTTCTTGCCGTGTCAGACTCCAGACTCCACGCAGCCTCTATGCACAGAACGATCGACTCGATGGCCAGCGGGCTCTGAGGCACCTTCCTCTCCGCTGGGATCCGTTTGGCTCCGCCCTTACATGCGGACTCGGAGAGCCGTCGCTTCAGAACACTGCCAGGCTAGAGGGCGATCTTCGGGGGCGAGACTTTGAGGCAAGAGCATTAGCCTTGCCATGCCTTGCCATCCGTATTCACTGTCTGAAGATGCATCAGGTGAGCTTTCCAGGACAGCTTGAATCTCGAGCTATTCCGACATCCATGCGCGAGCTGGCGGGCCGAGCTGCGAGAGGCTCCAAAAGGCCTTCGTGCACCGTGACACTATCCTTAAATGATGTGTCAGACCGGCCCAACCTTAATGCGTCTTGAAGATGCAGCAAACGTGCTAGGCCTCAATGTGTTGGTCGGACCGCTCAATCGAGCTTTTTGGATGCTCCAGGCATTTGGTAGCATCATGATATGAAACTATGTAGGTGTACCGACAGGTTGTTCACACCTGTGAATCGAATTATCAGCGCAACCTTTCTGCAAGAGTCCATTCCAGAAGTTAGACTCATGCGAGTCCAACTCTAGAACCTAGAATCGCAGCTGCACGCCACTTGCTTGCGGTGCAACCGGGAGGCTCTGACTCCACGAAGGGAAACAGATGGGGGAGAGGTAAACTCAGCGCGCAAGGCTGCGATGCTTCTCTTCCGGGCACAGTCAATGGCCGTTGCCGCGAGGCTGGACCGGTTTGTGATTGACGAATCAACTTAGTGTCCTCAGATTTGCATGTGCTTTCCATCGAGGTTACTTTGTTTATCCGCAGTACCTCAAGTTATGGGAGGAATTCGTTGAAGCCTTTCGCAATGGCAGGCTGTACCAAGACTCAGAGCCTTCTCGAATGTCAGATCTCGCTGTGCTCCGTCGCCTTTTGCAGGCGAGCGCCGATGAGATGGCAGCGGCAGCAGGTGGCACCGGTGGCGCCGCGACCTTCGCAGGCGGAGCAGAGGGGAGATGCGCGGAAGCGGTGCGGAGAGAGCTCGGCTCGGAGGCTCTCTTCGGCGGGCCTTTTGTGCGCTGTTACAGCGTGAGATCCGACCTGATTTTACATCGACTCTGCCTGCTTGGGCCAAAAGTGTAGTTAGCCAGTAAGTTAAGGCGAGTCAACAACCTCAACGACTTCAAGCATGTTAATTGGCTTTGAGTGTACAGCGGCTGTGAAGATGATGCAAGCATGTCCATGCCAGGAGAAGGTCACAGGAGGACACCCGGAGTTTCAAGACAAGACCATGAACGAGGCCCTGACCTTTTGTTGACGAGCATCGCCATTTCCTTCCGAGGAGCTCCAATGCTCAACTCGATAAGCCATGAGATGGCAGCAGATGTGCATCGAGCAAAGCCCCTTCATGCACAATTATGGAATCCTGTTCCAAACTTGCTGTGGACTGTGATTTTGAATCTTCAGCTCGCCTGTGCTGCATGGCACAGCGGCTTCTTCAAAGCAGGCTGCCAGGGCCCGGCAGCCACGGGCGCCGCTTCTGGCGTGGGGCCCGGCGAGTTGGCAAACAGTGCAAGTGGCGCAAGTGTCGCAAGTTGAAAGCGCTGAGCCCCATAATGAAAAACGTGCCAAGCTTCAGGGTGTCTCAAGCACTGTGTTTCCCAGATCGTTTCGGCGATGTGCGTGGCAATGATGTCTGGGTCTCAGAACTTGTAAGTTGTGACTCGTGCGGCCCATAGGCGTGGGTCCGTTCCACAGGTTCTGGTGGGCACCCGCGCTATTTTCCGCGGTTGCCCTGGGCAGTTGGCTTGGTGAGGATTCCACTCACAAGGCGGTCGTTTGCGCTTGCAGTCCGAGCCTAGTTGTTGCAAAACCAGGAGTTCAACTCGTGAGGCACAGCATACCGCGATCTAGACTTCCGCTCGACTTGCTTGTTCTCAGCTTCGAAAGCTTAGTCGGTACCACCCCGGCATAGCAGACATGTTCTAGGATGTCTCCTACGTTTCTTGTCTTCTTCAGTTGTTCTGGCCGTTCAGTTGACTGATGCTACACGGTTTTCCAAGCGTTCTGATCGCGATTCTGTGTGTGCCAGCGAGACAACGGCGGCCATTCCTGCTATCACACTTGCCAAAGTCCGCTGGGACTGTACGTACCAGTTACTAATTGGTGCATCGTTGACTTCTCATATCCTGCCACATCATGGCTTGCTGCACTTTAGAGGTTGATACGTTACGTTGCCTTTTGATCAAGCTACATTCGTCTTGCGTGCAATCAGGTCTGAAGTGCTCCATTGCCGGGGTAGTCATCCACTGCTTGCCGTAGCCCACTCCGTATGTTTGCAGACGCAATGCGCGTTCTGCGAGCTATCACTGGACCTCGTCTCAGGAGCTCTCAGTTTGAAGTCATCTTTCTGTAAGAAGAATCTCACAGTTTTATGAGATTGTGGCTGCGGCGACGACGCATTCGAGTTGACATGTGTCAGCTTTTTTGTGTCATACATGTGTTGGCAGGACGGGGGAGGCGAGAAGGGAAGATCGGGGCTTGCTCTTGCTGAACTTTAATTTTGGGGCCCTCAAATGCACTGGAGGGACTCGAAATAAGTTTCAAGCATCGGGTGCCGAGAGGGGGCAGGGTGTGGAAGCTACTGTTTCTCGGGAAACTATGTTGTCGGAAACTTGTTGTTGTGCATTGGGTTCACAGTCTGACGTCACGTGCGTTGCTTGAAGGACTATCCGGCAACTGTCTGATAAACAAAATAATCTGACCTGACCCGATGATACGTGTTGTGATGCCAAACTGTTTTGGCAGGGGTGCCAAGAGTCAAGTCGAGATAGTTCAGGTGTTATGAAAGACTTGTCTTTAGAGGGTCGACAAAGATCTTTTTCCGAGAGTGCAAGACTGGTACAACTTGGATTAGCCCCAAGCCCCAAAATGCTAGTGAATCTGGTCGTGTCGCTATGGACAAGAGCTCGTGCATTGCATATGAGAGAGTTCTAAGAGCTCAGCCAATGGAGTGCTTGTAGAGACCCGAAACGCGCTGAACCTCTGTTTCAGGCTTTTGCCGTCGGTGGTCAAAGCGAGCGGGGTGACGCAAAGCGGGAGCAGATGAAGCGGGAATATGCGGCCCTGGCCTTGGATGCCTTGGGAGATCTGAGCGCGGTCTCAGCTCTTGATCTGCTTTCAGTGAGGAGCGCCAGGCACGAGAGCAAGCCGCCAAGTGAGGGAAGGGCTTGCAGGCATTGCGACTGCACCACAGCGATCTATGCATCGACCTTGCAAAAAGTTGCGCTACTTCTCTGATTTCGGCTGTGGCATTGGAAGGTGCGCGATTCAGATTTTCGGCGTCCGTCTCCCTGTAGTCCTGCAGGGATATAGCCATGGCAAAGCAGAAGAAAGACGGTGCCCACACATGGTTACTGTGATCATGTGTCAATGCAATTGCAGACGAGGTTGCTGTACAGATACGTTTATGCACCTTGGACCTTTGACACTGACCCAGAACTGCATTGAACCTTGTTCATTGCTACTGGGGCAGCCGAGCCTTGCTGTCTCGGCAGAGTGTATGGCGGGATCTTATGCCGGGCCATGGCGGTGACCCAAGAAGAGAAGTGTGCTTCGAATCTTGGGAGCCGGTGGCGAAGAGAGACAGAGATGCGGAGCTGCGGATCCGACTAAGACCGCCGGAGCCGTAGCCGCTCGGCCTTCGGCCGTGCCGTCACGTCTTGGGGCCGGGTCCAGAAGCTTGCGCGAGTTTGACACAGTTTGGCATGCTTTTGCACATGCTTTTCGCACTTCACCGTGAGGTGTCCATTTGCTTTCAGCAGCTTGGCAGGCCGTCGCCGAAGAAGACGACGAAGGAATCCCAGGCAAACGAAGCAAGCATGAGCAGCCTTGGCAGCCCCAGCCCAACCTTTCGCGAGAAGCTTTGGGGTCACTTAGTTATATGATATATATATATATATATACATATATATATATATATATGCTTGGGCTGGGGTTACGGAAAGCTTTTCAGCCACATGCTCCTTTCTCCAGCCTGCGAGAGGCTAAACTTCGGACGCCACAGCGGGATGAGCTACAGGGAGGTCGGCCGATGATGCAGATGCTTCTTCCTCGTAGTCGATTGATATTTTTAAACTCAAAGCATTCACTCACTCGCAGGTGGCTCGCAATCATCCAGGCTACGTCCGCTGGGTAGAGCCGGCATCGGTTCTGTTGTCTGATGATCACTACTCGTCAACGAATGGCAGCATCTTGCCAGGCCCTAAGCCAGCCAAGTCCGACAGCATGCGGCTTAGCTTGAGGAGATGTGAATCGAGCTGCCAGCATCTTTCGATCTGTTGTGTCCTCGCGTGTCTGTGCGCCGCCCGCATACGATAAGTTTTCGACTGATGAAATTTCTGCATTATATCCCGCATTAAATTACTCACACTCTGAGCATCTGCTCTGTTCGGCGCACATACAGTGAGTCCTTTCTCCAGCTTTGATATGTGATCGTGATGGTGCACTGACCGCACGGTGTTTAAAGCAGTGTCACATGTCAACATGAGCTTGCACGCTACTACGAGGGTGGACTTCGATCGTTCGTGGCCTGGCTGCGGGCTCACCCTCCTGACGATGCGAGGTGGGGCCGTCCGATCTCACTGAATCGTGTGCGTATAGTAGACATGTACGGCGCGCACTGCACATGTGTGCATGCCGGGACGCATGCGTAAACGTGTGTGTATATACATGTATACAGACATGTACACCATGTGTATATAGTTGTATATGCACATACACATTTTATAGACACACAGATGCACACACCCACATCTTCCATGATCTTCCCATGGCAAGATGGCTGATCGAATCTACGTGAGGGTTGGCTCCCACTTGAAGGAGTGCATTTAGAATTTTACGGATTTGAGGTCCAGGCTTCGCTACTGTTCGAACTCTCTCTCGGCATAAGTTCTGAGACTTGCTCGGTCTTGCTAGGCATAGTGTATGCAAATGATCTCACTGGAGATTTTCTTTTAATACCCGGCCGAAAAAGTAACATCGGGTGTTTTGTTCGAGCTTCTGGAGTGCCTCCGTTGGATGCATTTCTCCTTCGGATTCCACAACTCAACCGGCTCAGCCGCATTCGCATTGGCCTTTCGCCATACTGTCTATACTGGATCAAAGTCACGGTCCTCGTCCAAGTCATGGCACCCAATCGGACTGCGCCCTCTTAGGACCTCCTCTGCATCATCAGCATCACCATAACTATCACCATTTTGAGCTGTATTAAGTCTTTGCAGACCGTGGTGCAACTGAACTGGTGTACTAGTATGCGTAGCTGTGCAAGGTCTGACAGGCCTGATTGTGCAGCGGTCTCTGCAACATAAATGAAGTCCCGAGCACACTTTGAATTCGACAGAAAAGCTTCGCCCATCATCGGCAAAACAACCACAAGCAGGGTTTGTTGCCAAGTTTTCCCAATGAAAGGCCCGAGCGAAGAACCAGCAACAGCATTCACCACGCGAATTGGGTACTTAAGGCAGAGCATCAGAGCGTTTGCCTGTTCCAGTGTCGGAATCAGTTCTTTATTGGCTGCCACTCTTGCCTTGGAGCAGGGATGAGGGTTCCTCTTTCAACTATGCGAGCTCCGCTTCAGACGATAGCGCCATCCCCAGGATGGTTTCGTGTTCTGGAAGTGCTCTTCCCATGCAATGGTGCAGCTGCAAGCCTGTCCTTTGTAAGCGACAGCACTGGGTCATGCATTTGCGCTTACCGTATCTTGCCATATCGTGCAGCGCTGTTCTGTAATTGAAGGTGAGATGCAGCATTTGTTTCTGAGGCGAATCAGAACGTGACATCGATAGCGAAGCAGCCAGCGAAGAGCCATCGATGCATGCCCAGGTACGGTGCTCCCATTTTTGGCATAGCAGAGGCATAGCATGCCGTGGATTGCAGTTCATGTGTAGGTGTTGCCTCTCCATCTGCCCATGGTCCAGCTCATGGAGCAGATGGTGCAGCATTCCGGAAGGTTGAGGCTCACGGCTCATGCAACCGAAAGCATGCTCCCTGCTTCCTACTGTGCTTGAGCTTCCTTAGATTCTGCAGGGATCTGTCAAGACTGTGCGAGGCTGAGCACCCCATGGTCTGTACCACTTGTCGTACGACTCAGGGACATGTTGTTGGCGCAGCATCTGCTCAGGATGCGCCAGAGTGTGGAGCAAAGGGGCGATGTAACATCTTCGTACAGTCTTTCGGCCCTCCTAGTCGAGACCCCAGACTTGTGTCTTGTCATGCAGTTCTCCTCGTGTCAATCCGCGCAGCCATCTTTTTTTCGTGGTAAAACATGAGTCGGTTGGGTGCGGCCAAGGTGGAGCTACCACGAGTGACCTACTCCGCGAGTGGGCTCCACGTTTCATATTGCTCGGATTTGTTTTGCAGTGCGCCGTTGTGCAGGCTTATTCAGTGGAGCGCCCCATCCCCAAAGCTGTCGACATCTCAGACTGTAGCCAAAAAACGATGCATGTCCTGCTCGCGATGTCGGGTCGCCTTTTCACAGGTCCCATTTGCATGGAGGACTTCGATTCTTGGGAAGCTGGACATGATTCCGAAATTGCCCAGGGCCCAGTAGCTTCTGTCTCGAATGTACAGTACTTGTGGCAGTATATGGGCCGTCTGTCTGACAAGTGGGATATGCTGGTAATGTTTCCAGGTCATGACTCCTTGCCTTCACACTTTCCACATTGGCTGTCTCCGAGGTGCAAGAGCTTATGTTTTGTCATGTATGGCATGATGTGCTGTTTTTCTTGTCGTGGTGTCTAGCGTGGCCTTTGTGCGAGGTTGGCTGAAGAGAAGCCGGAAACCAAGCAGTTCATGTCGAGCAGGATCGTCTTTCCCGCTCGAAGTTGGCAGATCTCGGATGCATCAAGGCCCGGAGTGTCCGACGTGTAGATGGGACATTACAGATTTGGGTGCTGACAAGGCCGCGCATAACGAATGTCAAAAGTTGCTTGCAAGAAGCCTCTGAACAAGTTCAGCATATGTGCTCTTCCTGCTGACTGCCAGGCCTTCGATTCCAGCTGTGCTTCTGGCAAGGTTGCCAGAATGCTCTGTGGCAGCTGGGACCAACCGACCCCCTGTAGTTTACTGAGTTCAGCAAGCACAGGTTGGACGAGACGCAAAACGCTGTTCAGACAACTTCAAAAGATCATGTCTTGTTTTAGAAGAGACTCAGCGAGAACTGCTCTAGATAGCAGTGCAACGAAGAGCATACCATCATCCTCAAATGACAGGCGTTGATCTTCCACAGACTCGTCCGGATGTGTCGTTTGCCCGGCATCGCATGTGCTACAGTGCTCCCAGCATTCCATGATTCCAGAAGAGCGGTCCACAGGCCTCGCGACTTGGAGATCGTGGTGCCAGGGTCTTTGCTAACGTCTGCTGGAGGCAGCGAAGGGAGACCTGTAACCTGTGCCCAAGAGACTGAGACTGAGGTCTGACGATGAGTAAGTCTGATGTGAAACAGTCTTGAGCAAAGGCGGTGTCAGAGCGAAGTCGTTTCGTGGATAACGATCCCGTTTCCCACACAACGATGTGTGCCACACTTCAATTCGGAAGTGCGAGTCGGGTTTAGAACTTCTCTGGTCCCTGTGCGGGACAACTCCACAATGTCTAGCCTTCCAAACAGCGTTGCCAGAGGTAGTCAGCGGGACAGGAATGCCGTTCTTCAGGGAGTTTCAAGCTGACGGGTCATAGCGTTTGCTCCGCTGTGGTTGCGAAGCCTGTGAAGACGGGTGGTAGCTTCTGCATGGCGGCTGAACTTGCTACCCGGGGACGAGCAAACAGCACTACACGGGACTTGATGCTGGAAGTGATTTGCTCGTGGACGGTCAATCTTGCTCATGCAGTGAGGAGTCCATTCGGAGAGCTTTGCATCCGCTCAAGCAAACCCATAGCCCCCAGAGCTGGAGCGATATCAGAATCGCAGCGCAGCAGCTGCAGCATAGCTCTTGAACTCTGAGGCTGCTTAGGCCTTTGAAAGCCGGTATGCAGATGAGCAGACCCAGCATATCCCAGCATACTTTGACCAAGACCTGCGATTTAAGTTTTCGAAGAACCTGTCTAGCCATCGGTCCTTGGGCACAGCTTCCTACGTCCTGCCTCGATCTCAGCTACACATGCTCCTCACAGATCTTTGTCGTCAGGACAGAGGCTTGTACAAGAAAACGCTGCATGGCAGGGCTGTAAAAGCGCTTTTGAACTTCGCGGTTGGTAATGTCGCGTGGCCGAGCATGGCCGAGAATGGCCGAGGCCTGTCTGGCATCGTGGGACTTCTTGCGCTGGGCCATGGTACCCTGCAGACGATTCGTTTCTGACACACGAGGGGTAAGAAAGCCGCCTTCAGCATGTCGTCGCATGGTGACAGGCTGCAGCCCCTCGTCGGAGACACCGTCAGGCCAGGAGCAGCCTTCGCAGCCTGGCAAGTTCCAAGTTCGATCAGCTCGTCAGTTGCAGGTGTCATGCTGAAAAGCATCAACAACGCGGCTGCCGGCTCGGTGCTTCAAGGTATCAGGTGCATGTGCCAGGTTAGGGAAGAGAGGGTGGGGCCAGCTGTGCTCTGGACACCAGTGATGTCGTGGAGGTTGTGCCACCAGCCCGATCTCAGCTCCAGCGCCATATCGAGACTGGGGGGGTGCACATGAGCGCATGAGCGGCAACACCGACCTGGAGGGAAGTGGACGGGGCCAACGTTGTGTGCATTAGAGCCACCGTGGGTGGGTGGGTGGGTGGGTGGGTTCATGGCCCATCACGGCCCACCCAGAAACGGCCACCTCCAGAGATGGCCCAAACCGCAGCATAGGTCGGGTTGCGCGGGGAAACTGTACTTTAGTGAGGGCTGCGGGTGCATTGGAGACGCGTCGCCAAGGCGAGGTGGTGGAAGGTTGGAATGTTGAGAAATGTGTCTGAGGATAGACGAAAAGCTGTGCGCACCCGCTCCCAATCTCCAGATCCCCAGCTTGTGCTTCCCAATGGACCACTCGACGGTCCACGTTGGCAGCCTCAGCTCTGGCACTGTCAAGCCGAATTTTAGATGATGCCAGAATGGGCTTCACTCTGTCCCAGAAGGAGACTCAGGCCAGCAAGCAGGCGTCACAGCCACACTATGGAAGGCATTCCTGCAGTAGTGTTGCCTGGAGCAAGATTGTCGCAGGGATATCTACCCGGCCAATGTGTACATGGTGCGAGCGTTGAGGAGGAACTGCCGCTGACTTAGCATCATCATCAAAGGTGAGAAAGAGGCTGAAATTCAACTCGTGTCTTTGGGATTCGAGGGCGAGCGGGAAGCGCCTTCTGGAGGCGGCGGCCGCGGAGCATCGCGGATTTGCGTCTTTCTTCCTCTCTCTGCAGGAATACTCCGTCGGCGAAGCCATTGGCGAAGGAGCCTTCGGTGTCGTTTATGCCCTGACCCTGGAGCGTCCTGCTTTCTGAATGTGCCGAACACAGGCATTTGCAAGAATAGGCATGTTCAACTGAGGCGTGCGCACATCGGAAGACGAGAATGCAGGCACAGACTGCTATACAGCTACTGACCTGGTGCCGCCATGATACGACAGAGCAATAATAGACCGATGATGACTGATGGCAGGCCGCGGTAAAGATGGTGGACAAGGCTCTCTGTCTCTCTCTCTCTCTCTGTCTCTGTCTCTGTCTCTGTCTCTGTCTCTGTCTCTGTCTCTCTCTCTCTGTCTCTGTCTCTGTCTCTGTCTCTGTCTCTGTCTCTGTCTCTGTCTCTGTCTCTGTCTCTGTCTCTGTCTCTGTCTCTGTCTGTCTCTCTCTCTCTCTCTGGCTCGCTCTCGCTCTGTCTTGCGAAACGTGGTTGCTTCTACATGAGTATAGTGCCCGGTCAGTTCAGTTTCAAGACAGGTTGAGACACCGACGGCCGTGATACGCAGAGAGGCAGAGTTGATGAAGGTGCCACCAAGCGGCTGACATATTGCATGTTGATCGCACTGCAAACTGTTTTCAGAATGCCGTGCGCTGTGCCAGTCCCTCTCACACGACAACATCGTTCGCTTCCATGCCGTGTACTTCGAGAGGCCTTTCAGTTCTGCCTGGCTGCATGAACATGTGTTTCTGTGTGCGCGCGTACGTGCGTGCATGTCATGCGTGCCTGTCTGCGTGCGTGCTGTTCTTCACACATAGGCACAGGGTGTCACTTCATTGTTGCGATTTTTCACAACAGCTGGCACACATCTCAATTTCGTGACATGTGGTCGGCGGCATTGGGCTGGCAGCCTGTTCCGTGATGCCATCCATTGAAGCTGGCGAAACAGGCGGATGGAATCATGTGGGCACGATCCAATCCAGCAGGAAAATCAGAGGCTTCTCCGAGCGTCCACAGCAGTTTTCCGTTTTACCCAGCATAAGATGCACGGTTGAAGCAATATGCACACAGTTGACCGTTCAAGCAGCCAGCAGGAAGACGACAGTTAACCAGTCCCTGGTCGATGAACTAGCAAATGCGCCCGGCCGTGTCGTGTGTGTGTGCGAAGAGCTGTGTGCAGGATCTGCTGCTGTCTAGGAATGGAAGCTGATGGAAGCTGGTTGGGCAATGCCTTGACCTGGCAGGTGCTTTGTGTGCATAGTTATGGACAAGTACAGCGGAGGACCTTCCTCTTCATGGACGTAGGGAGGCTTTATGTCGGACGGACAGTGTCCAAAGACAGGCATGTGACACACTGTTACCCCGAGAAACACCTTGCCAGAGCATCAGGCTAACGTGTATTGTGAAGTACTGCATGCCTACCGACCAGTTCGGCTTGACTTGTGTGCCAAAGTGGCAGACAGATCGCATAACCAGCTCTCTTCCAAGGGAGTGGTGCGATTTTGGCTTTTCAGGAGATCTTGTCGATGGTATGCAGACGCATATGAAGGAGACTTGCAAGGCATGTTAACTTTGTAGATCCTAGGGCGAGACAGCCCGTTCGCTTCCGTTGCCACACACTTATCGGTATGAACGTGAAGGAGCACGGGAAGATAAATCCCAGAGACATCATCCATGTCAGTTATCAGGCCATGGCATTCTGCCCTGAAGTCTGCGCGGGTGAGCAAAAAAAGCGCAAAAGATGGCTCAATCATGCCAGATGGCGGCCTCCATCAAGTATCTCCATGGACGACACATTGCGCACCGTGACATCAAGGCAAGAAGTGGAATTGGATGCAAGACGGGTGGGGGATGGTAGAGGTCTTTATTCCAAGAATTTCACGCACAGATCAGAATTGATTCTCCAGCACGTCTGCACGTGATTGAACAAGCCGTGTTCTGCTTCCTGCCTCATTACTGGATTGCACAGGGCTGTTTCGTGATGCCGCGGCAGTTTGCCTAAGGGAGACAACTTCTTGATCACGACCCGGGATCTCCGAGACCAAGATTGCAAAGTTGCTCTGAGCGACTTCGGTGCTCCACCTGCTTGCCACATCTTTGCCACTGTGCCACATGCTCGTGAAGCGCCTCCATGTCCCTACGACCACCTGCAAGCCTTGGCTCCGGTCAGTCAAGTCTCAGTTAGACAGGCATCGTAGAGGGCAGCTGTATCAGCCGATTCCAACTGTCTGTTTAATGCCTGTGCTCATCTCACCTCTGGTTTGGCAACATGAGAAACAAGCAGCCACACATAGGCAGACATGTAGAGGATGGTACAGTTTTACATCTATTTGTATATGTATTTATATATATATATATATGTATACACATATTTTTGCATGTATAGACACATACATACATTCATGCATACATACCCATCTCTCTGCATATATATGTATATATATATATATATATATATATATACACATCTATATCTACATCTGCACACGCACCGTCCCAGTTTCAGCAACAGAGTACCCACAAACGGAAGATAGAGCGACTAGCAATAAGCGGAAGATCCCCAGGCCCAAATATCAATATTGCCGCAGCCCCGCAGCCATGAATGGCTGGGAGCTTGGCTCCTCTGCGTCTGTGCGTGTCTGCGTGCTCCCTTCGTCTTTGAAGAGGCACATGGGCAGCCACCCGCGGACTGGAAGACTTCCAGCGAAATGCGGCCTTCGTCTCGACCCAAGGTCATTCTCCACCCTTGGACTTTAAGTCAGCTGCAGCAAAGGTGGCCTTCATGATCATAGTTTGCTTTGGGGTCTTCGTCTTCATAACCAGGAGGGGCCGTATGAAGTCGAGACGCTGATCATGAGCATGTTCGTGCATGCACAGAAGTCTTTTAGCAGCATTTTTTGTGGAGGAACCTTCGAGAAACCATCACTCCTCTTTGCTGGGCTGCGTTTTTCGCGGATCTTCGGCAGCAGAGAGCATAAGCCTTCATTGAGCAGAGCCTGCTTTCTGCAGGTTCCATGCACGCTGCTGATCTCGTACCTGGATCGCCTGATCAATGCGGTCGCCAGCTTACAATGGGATTGTGTGAATCCCTGACATGTTAAACCGTTGTGACACAGGTCATGAGCAGACTGGTGCAGCTCTGGCACCGTATGTGGGGCTCGAGACGAGCTGAATGTCCAGCAACTTGGATTATGTAGTGTGTGTACGGCCGGCACAGTCTCTTTGCGAAGCATGCGGCAAAGATTGGGGCATTATGAGTGTTACATGGGATTGATTGGATTGTTCTTCCACGTTCAATCATAGCTTCTTTGGACAGTGTTTGCTTGAAGGCTGCTACTCTCCTGCACAGAATGACATCATTCTAGCCGCCGCTCTTTGAATGTGGATGTCATCCTCTTCGCTCGTGTCCTTCGACAGCGTACGCAGATACTCCGCGCACACACAGGCATACAAACTCTGTCCCAGCGAGGTAGACATACTGTAGCGGTTGGCTGACGGAATAACCATGATGTAACTACCACTGGTCACCATGTATGGTGACCATGAACCTTCATGAGGCCTGACCTAGGACGTGTCCACAGATGTTTCAAATTCTTCGGCATTGTGAGCTGAGGAGTTTGTCCACTTCGTGTCCGCCCAGGGCGACAGCCACATCTGCCTAGACAATGCGCCTGGCACAGCTGCATTCCTTCGCAAGGCGGGCAACAGTGGGCTTGTCGAAACGTTGACTCCTTCATGATGCAGGCCGAGCAGTTTTTTTTTGAAATGGGTTGCTCGCAAGGTGAACACACCGTGCATTGGCTGCGGCACTGGGCTTCTCTGCCGGCAGAGAAGCATTGGGCTCCGCCGGTAGGTAGATACTAGCCGTTTTGTGCCTGTCCACTTCATGTTCAACACATTTTCGTTCTTGACGCTGGTTATTCAGTTTCGGTCACCTTGCCAAGACAGCGTCAGTAATCCATGTATCTTGCTAAATCTAGCCGGCAACAGTTGCCGTTTGATCCGGTTTCGCGGAAACTGTCCTTGTCAGATACGTTTTCTGAGACAGTGTATTGCTCGTCACGCGCTATGCCCGTGGCATTCGTGTCAGTGTCCTGAGAATAGACTAGCCGACTAGCTAATTTGATCAGTGCCAAGGCTCCTCAAGCTGCTGCAGGTGCTGCGCCTTGAGTGGCTTGGTACGGCAAACCAGCAGAAAAGCAGTATGTATGCCGACAGTTTTGACGACAACATCATTTTTTCCAGGCCTCGTCTCGATGGCGTTCGGGTGTTCTTTGCTGACTATCAAGGTCCTGCTTCCGGCGGCGCGTCAAGATTGTCAGCCTCTCTTTGCAGGTGCCGGACGGACTGCTGTACTTGTAGCAGCAAGCCCAACCATGACGCGGTAAGAGTGCCGGCGCGCCAAAGCGGGGTCCATTGCTTTGGTGCAGAACTTTTTGCACAGCGCCTGATGCATGAATGTCGAGCAACTCACGCAAGCTGGCGTAGCGGGGATTTCGTTTCTATGTGTTTCTATCTGCATTAGCAGTGGTGGCCTGGATGCCGGCCAGACAACAAATCATTTTGGTGTGTGCCAGAGATCACGGTATGTGGCGGTGCAGCGTTTTCTATTGCAACCCTTCAGCAACCAGATTGCAAACCTCGTGGCATTTGTCAAAGGCTCTGCGGTACCTTTCTTTGGCAGTTGATTGGCCACAATCCCCACTGAGAGTCATGAGCAATCCAACGCAGCTGCTGGAAGTCGGAGTCATGTTAGACTATCGCTGCAGTTGCCAGAATTTGATGGTAGTGGTGCTTGTTGAGTAGGGAGGGAAACTCCTCATCATGTCATGGTGAGGGCATCCTACAGTCCTACAGGCACTCTCAGTGTGATTTCAGGACGGCACTGATGGCGACTCCCTAGGGCCTGAAGTCAATCGCAGCATGGCTTCAATAGCCGTCATGTACATTGACACATTCCAAGCGGCGGTTTTTCAGGGACATGGCAGCCAGTCGATCAATTGCATCTGGACTTTTTTCGGTCAACTCTCGTTGTTCAGCCTTGCACTGCTCTCTTTGCAAGGACTGGTACAAGGCTGGACTTACTACGCTTCCAGTGCAGGACAGGCTGTAAGCTGAATCGGCTTTGGTCAAACAGCTGTTTGCATACCAGTCTAAGCTTAGGTGAGATCGCTGTTGCGGACTTAAAGTGTCTTCTTTGACATCGTCCAAGTCATGTTTGAGACGAATTCCAACTTACTGCCATGTCAGCGAACTCGCTGTTACTTCGTCAATTTCCCGACTGTATCCGCAAACCAAACCTCACCTCAGAGGCACGGAGTCGCAATACCCCGCACTTCCTGTTGTACATGTTGACCCTGTTGCTGAGGCATGCTGTCACAGACGCTAGCTGGCGCTACTTGCACTTGCTTCTGTTTGCATTCCGAGTCGGTGGTGGCACATGTGGCACTTTGGCACTTGCAGGAACAAGGGACTTCGCGTTCGATGGCGAGGAAGGCCAGGTCTCAGCGGTAGCGACATGGAGATGCCGGTGGCGGAAGTACTCGAGGGGCAATGGGAATTGTTGGCGGTGGTTGTGTTGGCAGTCGGTGATGGTGGTAGTGGTGGTGGCATGAAGGACTCACTTCTATTCGGCTTGAGCTCTTCCTGGACGCATCGGAGCAGTATGCTGCGGTGATCCCGATGAGGCAGGCGATCTTAGCTCGGGTGGGGCAGTCTCGGCTCGCCGGCCCCTTTCAGTCCGCCAACGACGCGATCGAACATCAATGGGACCTTGGAGATGGACAAGAGCTCTTCCCTGCCACTCCCGCAAAAAATGACAGGAGCTGTTGCATTGTTGGGCAGGTCCGTGCTTTTCGCTGCGAGACCTGTGAGGTGCCGTGTTCCTGAAGTCTAAGGTCCTGGTTGGTGGCGCTGCTGGGAACATTGCTTCTGGTTTCTGCCGGCATGTGGTTTCTAAGCCAGCACGCCTGGCATGATCCCAGTGTCTCTGTCATCAGCAGACGTGCTTTTGGCTATCTGCAGCTTAGGTTCTTTATTGAATGCATCACTCTGGGCGTGCAGAGCTTCACAGCAAACTTGGACGATTACAAAAAGGTGGTCAAGCTGCATGTATTGATGATCTCTTAAAGAATAATCTCGCATGGACTTGCCAGAAGAAGCATCTCGCATGACAGTTGCTGCATGTGATCTGCCACGGAGATGCCAGGGTGTTGAGGATTTTCTCAACCTGGTGAAGCCGATTCTGCCAGAGAGCACTTGGAAGGAGTTGATTGCACATTGCATGGAAGGCTCTTCCATTTTCCATTGCATCCAAAAGCAACGTGCAGAGAGCATATCGTTCCGTAAGAGCCTTTGGGCAAAAAGCGTTTCATGAATGGAAGACTAAAAGACCGTGAAGCAGGAGCTGCAGCAGAAGATTACTTCGTTTCTAACAAACGAGCTTGGCACGCTGGCCTCGCAGCTTGCGTCTTCACTCGAGTCACTGAGCTTTCAGGCTCGAGGCGCCAACGTGCTTCGAATTGCTGACATGTCGCAGTTGAAGGCTCTCATGTTCTTCGTGTACCTTTTCTTTTGGATCTTCGAGCCTCTGCCCGTGAGCAGCCCTGTGGCAGAGGCTGGACGACGTATTGTTTTGAAGGAGGGTTTCCGGTTACGTCGTTTTGGCAGTTGCTGGAGGTCTTCAAATCTTATCTTCTGATGAAGACGTTCATTTGCCTTCTCTTCTCCGCCCTGATGAGCGCCGCCTACCTGCATCTAATCATCGTCAACAATCCCCAAGAGCAAACTGACGCACTTGGGTGCCAAGGTGTATAATTCGTGATCATGAGAGCTATTGGCCGAGGTTTTGCTCATGTGCCTGCAATGCAAAATCTGGAGCCTTTTCTTTGCTGCGGTCTCAGCACCAAGCATCAGCTGCAGTAGAACGGATACCAGATGAGAGCCTTTCTGACTACTTTTTCAGGTGTTGACCTTCCTTCTCAACTTCATCCCAGAGATCGGTGCCGCGGCTAGGCGCAGGGCGCGAAGCCGACTTTTGCGTGTTGTGCAGAGGTGCCATCGCCTCAGCGGTGCTTACAGTCCCGGCCATCCTGTTTGATGGGCATCTGCCTATGGAGCGGCGCCTGGAGAATTTGATTTGGCATCTTGGGTAGCATTTTGTGACGGCCGGATGAGCGAGTAAGCACCACGAGAGCGGACAGGCTCGTGATCATGGGGACCGCGATCAAAGTCTTCACAGGCTGGGGTTAACTTCGTGTCACGGTTTGACGCCGTCAGACTCAAATTACAGACTTCTGACAACTTCTGACAGGCAATGTTGTGGAGGTGCAGATGTATGCTACAATGGGTGGCCAGTTCATGCGCATGCACCCGGTAATCATCATGGTGCCAGAGATGCAAGTGATGCAAGCCATAACAGCCTGTTGACCTTGCCAATGCCTGAAGAGTAAGGCATTGATCATGCTGTTCTCCTCACTCTTGGGTGTCACTGGAATGTTCTTGGTCGCGTGGTCGCAAACTCTGATTTCTGAACATGCGGAGAATATTTGTGTGTGTGTGTGGGTTTTGCGCAGTGGTTTCGTAAACTAGAGCGCAGCTTGGCAACCGTCTTCCTGTCCTTTCCTTTCGACTTGTCTCGTGGGATCGCTTTGATGCGAGAAGAATGTCCTTCGAAAGTTACTTGGAGATTCACTCTGCCATAGATCATGCACGGACCGGTCACGTTTCTTCTGCCTACCTGCAACGATCTGCCACGCACAGCATCCTGCAGACAGCGAGGCCGTTCCGAGCATGGCGGCAGTGAAGTACTACCTGGTCTCAACCGACATGCCAGATCAGTTTCAGCATCCTCTGCTGGTTGCAATCGAGGGTGATGCAACGTCGCTGCAAGCACGACCTGCAAACTGCATCCGGTCCACAGGTCTGGTTGGAACAACGCAGGAAAGGATGAATGCTTGATGAGCCTGCGAGCTAAGGCAACCGGTCCCCACAAGAATTTCGTCGATCAGAAACGCCTTCAACGGCACGCTGCGTCTTGACGACAACTAGTGGGTTACGGATGTGTAAAGAGTGCAGAGGCTGGCAGGTTGTTCTTGTTCAGCCCTCTTCGGCAAAGCCTTGTGCTCAGGCCACAACCTCCAACGCTGCCAGCACAGTTGAGCTGGCAACATCTTAGAATCTTAGAGTGCTCTGAGATCTGACCTTGCTTTTGCTCATGGGAAAGCCTACTGTAGTTGGCGAGTGAAGGGCGTCTGCACCCGCAGGGATACCCTGCGGGTGACTTGACGTGTAGAGTGTAGAGATCCTTCCGTCGCTGGCACAGAGGGAGCCTCCTTTGGGCAGTTTTCAAAGAGCGTGCCGCAGAGCTTCCTGCGTAAGTCTGAGGATTTTTCTTGTGCGGACAGGGCTCCTTTGGGCAGCTTGTACAGTCTTGCTCGGCATCTGCCTGGCCTGGTTTCGTCTGTTCGGAGACAGGAGCCTGGAACCGCCTGTGCCTGTGCCGTTCTCAGCGCCTGCAAATATCGGATAGACATCTAGAATGTAAAAATGCAGAGATTATGAGCAGGCACATTTCCGGACAACTGCAAAGAGTTTCACTCGCTTTGTCTGTGTGCACTTGGCAGCACAGCTCAGAAATGTGAGCCAACTGATCGGGCACACGACCTTGGCATTGTATCCCACTTCATGTCACGATTGATTCACCGATTGTCGGGGATCCTGAGATCAGTCCATCATCGAATCTTCTCAACAGTTGGTGTTTCTCAGAATCTATCACGTCGTCGCCGTGTTAACATCCCTTAGCGGCTTAGCATCTGGCAGTGAGCGGCGCAGGCACTGCAGAGCTGGTGGAGGGACAGCGGCGATTGTCCTCTGAGGTTGGGACCAGGAGCCATGGCATAGAGCGAGAGCGAGAGAGAGAGACCTAGAGACAGTGCTTCTGCGATTACTTCAGAAGCATGCGTGTGCAGGTTTCTTCTTGGACAGCTTTTGTCTCGCACTTGTGTGAATGCCTGAGAGGATCTTTTGGGCTCCAGAGATTTTTGGCAAGAGCTATGGCTTGAAGGCCGCAATGGTTGCTCTTCTCGCGCGCAGGGGTTGGATTTCGAGCTGCTTGGACAGCTTTCACGGCCGAAGATCGGTCCTTGGAGGTGGATGTTTGGGCCCTCGGGATCATCATGTACGGCTTGCTGGATGGTCGCTTTCCTTTCAAGGCCGTGTCCGTCGAAGTGCCATGTGGTAGTCATGGCAGTCCATGGTAGTCCACTCGTTGGGGTTGGTCCTGAACGTCTTGGCGCTTGATGGAGGCAAGTTAATGATTGCCCGATTTTTGTGAACAGCTGGATCTCGTAAGGTTTGCTTTCGTGACAAGCGACGCATGGTCGCAGAGTTGTCAGGACGAGCACGACATCAAGACAAAGGACCTTCTTGGGCGCTCAGTTTGCAAATCCTGACATCAAGACAAAGGAGCCAAAGTATCCAAAGAGGTGCTGGGTGTTTCCATGTCACTACATCCTGCTGCGTTCAGTTATTAATCCATGCCTTCCTGCAGGCTGGAGCCGCTATGCCAAGACTTCATTCGAGTAATGCTGTTAAAGGAGGAGGACGTTCGTGCTACGGCAGACGATGTGATGGTGCGCGGATGCAGTCGTCGGGACCACATGCCGTATGCCGGGTGGCCGCTTGCCAGGTTCATCGATGGCTCTCTGACTTTGCAGGTTGCTCGCAAGCCAAGGCCCTTGGCGCAACTGCAACAGAGGCTGCGATTCGGGTGGGTGCGTGCTGCTGGAAGCCGTGAGGAGTCCGAGGACTTCATGGAGACGCAGAAGAGCTCGGAGTCCAGAGAAGGCGGAGCGGGGCGGGCAGCGCCTCCTCTCTTTCAGCGACGTTCAGCGCCTTCAGCTTCGAGGCCGGCGGAGAAGTTCCGAGTCCTTGGAGGCATGCGGAGACGCTCACTCGAAGCTTCTCTTTTGCAGAGACTGTCCGAGTCCGCTCAGGTGCCCGTTCATCAGTTCGAACATGAGGAGCCCAACTGCAGCGCAAGCTCCTCAGAGCTTCCAAAGTCGTGTGAAGTTCATGCACGCATTGGGAAATTTTCGGAAGGGAATGTCGAGGTATCCGCAGGGAAAGTCTTGCATTGTGCTCGTGCCACCCCATTGGGTGATCCTCCCACGACTTCTCTTTCAATAAGTGCCAAAGGTCATGAAAACTCGAAGCCAGGGCAGGGCAGAGTGCAAATAGCCAAAGCCAGCTCTCCAGCAAGTTGCCTTTCACCAGAAGATGCTCCCAGTTAGCTTCTGTTTCACCATGACTGCACCTTTTCCGAAGCTGTCGGCCTATGCATTGCATGCTCTTTCAGAAACCGCCTGGAAGGTGCTAGCTAGCATCAGACATGTATGGAAGAGGTCACCAGTGTTTCTGATGCAACCAGGTTGCAGAGAGGCGGCGAGAGCTTATGGAACGATTGAACAACGAGCACACGAAGGCACAGCAATTCTTCCATGCTCTCAGTGTGCTGCTAGAAGCAATGTGGCTACTGTAAGTCTGTTTTTTTGCTTAACCGTTGGAGTCTTCACAGGGCCCCGCAGCCGTGGATTTCCTGCATTGCGCCAGCTTGACCGAGCCAGCGGCCTAGACTCTTAGGCTTCTGGGCATCGGCCCATTGAGAACTCGGGGGGCCATTGGTCGCTGAGGTTCTCAGTGCCAGATCGCCGGCTGCCAGGGGCGCAGTGGTTGTACCAGTGGTGGGACCGGATACAGGCCATGCAGTGCCAAGCAGCCAAGCACATTTGCTTGGAGGCTTCGGAACAACCTTGAACTCTCTTGCAGGCCGAGAATCTGGGACCGCGCAGTTCAGAGGGCCAAGAGCGCAGCTTCGGCACGAAAGTCTGAAAGTTGACCTTGTGGCAAGCAAGGCACCAACGAAGATTAGGCTCCCGCGGCTAGAAGTCCTCTGTCAGTACACTCGACCATGGGCGGATGTCGAGAGTCGAGACATCTCAGCTTCAATCTTAAATAAGCCGTTTCTTCCTTCACTTCTGCGACTGCGCGTGTATCCTAGGCACCCTTGAGGAGGTGTCCAGAGAGCTCGACAGGCCCAGAATCTGAAATCCTGAGAGTCGCCTGCAAGAGAAAGCACTGGATTTCAGGATGTTTCTTCCAGCCTTGTGGACTCTCTCAGACCACGCAGATGCAGCCAATTGCAGCCAGGTCACCACACATCGTTGGCAAGATGTTGCAGGAGAGATTGTGCGACCCACTCCAGGGTCTTTTGGTATGCCTGAGTACGAAGCTAAGGTAGCCATGGCAAAACGTTTCAATGACACAAGACAGTAGTAACAGCAGCATCCTCAGTTTCAATGCCCTTCGAGGGGCACACATTTTGAGAAACATTGAAGCTAAGCACAGCGAAGCCACGACTGCACAGGCCGCTTACCGACACATCGTGCCTCTGCCTGTCGTTCCCTCATAGTGCCGGAAGGTTGTTTAAAGGTTCAATCGACTAAATTCGAAATCCAGTTGTTCAACCGTGCGGTGATTGCTGACTTTTGCGGTGGCACGCCTCGTTTCCTTCACAGGAAAAGAGCTTGTGGCAAGCTAGCATCTGGCATCGTCGTGAGCAGCTCACATGCTGTAGATTCGCACAATGGATTTGCCTCGCAGGACTACAACATTGACATTGCGAAATTTGGCATGGGAGAGGCAGTTTATAGAGCTTTCACCGGCCCTAAATTTGTGTTCATGCTTCGTCGTCTTGGTGACGATTAACGGCACCAGGCCAAGACCCTTGAGCAGCTGGCTTCGGAGGCTTCCAGCTGGGAATTGCAAGACTTCCTTGGTCCTAGATGCGAGCACTGCAGAAAGAATGATTCGTTCCATGTTCGGCTCGTTCTCATGTTGCCGTTTCGCATGATTTTGCATTCAGGTGCAGAACGGCTCTGTGCGTTTGATGCTGGATGCGACCACTCACAAAAAGCTGGTACCTGTCCGAGTCAGTGAGTTGTGAATATACTTCAGGTGCAACTGACACTTAACCTAATGTTACTCAGGTGCGCGTGGTAGATGTGGTCTTGCTTCGGCTGTACTCTTCGTCCAGAAAGGCAAAGCCTGCAGAGCAATCTCCACGTCCTGCCTTGTTGAAGTCCCACTTCGAGACCGACAGCTTGTTGGCACCTTCGGGCTGGCAGGACCGCCTGTTGATCGAAGTTGGTGAGCAATATCCGGACGGGCGCAGGCCGTGTGCTCGAGCTGTCGCGAGTGCCCAGTTCCAGCGCAGCTATTCCATTCTGTAAGGCGTGCTGCCTCGCGACTTCCTGGCACGAAAAAGTTCCCACACGAGAACTCACAGGCACGAGCAACCGAGCAACTGCAAATGTACGCGGCGGATCATGCACGAAAAGATGTGCAAGAAATTGGCTCCTGCACGGCAGCAGTGGCCGAAGAGTCGTAGAACTCTGCAGATGCATTTGTTGGGCCCGAGGAGACTGCGTTCCGGGTCTTGCAGGACCTGTTGCCGTTTCCGGACCGGGGCTCAGGCTGACTTTGCAAAGCTTCCAGGATCTCTTGGGGGTGACGGCCCGGGCAGCCAACTTTGCCTTCGAAGACACGGAGGTCTACGAGGAGGAGCCGTTCCGCAGAGAGGGGTTTTTGGTGGCGGTGCCTGTCGGGAGAACCGCACTAGGCACTTGTCTGGTTCGAGAGCCATCGCGTCGGTTCGATGTCGCCTCAGGAGATGGACTCGCCTTCGTTTCCTGGAGTTCGGACCGACCTTCTGAGCTTTTTGAGCTTCAGAACTTTTGCTCAGCTTCTGCGCTCACTGACTCAGACTCAGATCAGGCAGCGCAGTGAGAAGAAACCGAACCGAGAGGATACGAGAGGATGCATTGGACAGGACTGTCTACAGGAAGGAAATCATGGAGGGCCATCTGAAAGAAACCGACGAGGCTGGAAACTGGGGCGATAAGAACAGTGAAAGCGGATCCAAGTTGCTAACGACTCCCTAGCCCCGCTTTACGTCCTCTTACGATGAGGCGAGTGGCCACCTTGGAAGTTTTCGGATGGCATGGGTTTGTAGCATCGCCTCAGGCAACGGCACTGCGAATTGGGCTCTTTGAGCCTGAAGGTACCGACTGGAGTGTCCAGGACTGTTTTCCGGCATATCGTTGCCATGAGTCGAGTAAGCGAGTAAGCATGCAGTATGCCATGCACGGAGTCTTTAGTAGCACTCGGCTCAGCCAACGTTAATGGGCAGTGTTGTGGTGCTTGGCATGAGTGTACTTCTGGTTCCATTTCCATTTCTGCTATTTCTGCTATTGCTGCTATCGCTGCTATTGCTGCCATTGCTTGCTGCTATTGCTGCTACTGCTACTGCTACTGCTACTGCTGCTACTACTACTACTACTACTACTGCTACTACTACTGCTGCTGCTGCTACTACTACTTAGCTCCGTGGCTCCGTGTACGCTTCAAGTGGTGTAGGCCTTGAGCCCGTCCAACTCCATGCTACCTGCCTCTCGCCCGTCGTTGGCTCTGTTCAGCATTTGCGCCTGGCACGGCCAAGCAAGCCTGGAGCCAAGAGAAGTGTGACTGCAAAGGATGTCGCCTTCGAGATACCGCCATAGCCGCTTTTGAGTCTCTGAGGACCTATGTTCCTCTGCTAACGGAAATGGGTTGGCGCGGGTGTGGCGCCCAAGCACTCAGAGATGGCAGGGGTTTGATACGCGGGTGCTTGGCACGGTACCCATAAGGGGACCGGGCTGAAGGAGAGCAATGTCTTTTTCGAAGCCAAGTGGCTGGATGACTAGCTTGGCTCAGCAAGGGTTAAGTGACTTTGCTGAGGAGACGACTGGCTTAGTTCCGAACATACCTTGGGCAATTTAATTTTTTACTCAAACTTCCCCCGCTCGGTGTAGAAGCTTCTCCAGCATCTGCTGCACGACACAGACCGCATCCAAGGCACCACCAACGGCAGAGATGTTATTGAAAAGTATAGAGTGAATAAAGCATGGCGCCAGTGCTTGCCCAAGTGAGCTGTCACTAGTGCCTCCTCCAGGCTTTAGATGATTGAAAGGAGACGTACTCTGGATTTGGCTTACTTCGGGAAGTTTGTAAGCCTCGCTCGTGTTCAGGGTATTTCAGGGTGTTCCAACCACTGAACAGTATTTCCTGACCAGCCGAGGTGACTTCCTGTCGCCTTGGCCACAGACGGCCTGAGCAGCAAGCGTATCTGAATAATTGTGCACGACGGAGAGCAGAAGTACGTACGTTCGATTCTGGAGATAAAACTAAGCCGCAATATCATCCAAAAAATGAACAGTCTCCAAGCAAGACAGCTGAGAGATTTGTGGATTTGAGAGCACATGCATCGAGCCTTGAAGACAGCTGATGTCCCTTGTATAGACAAGTACATACTTCTTCACAGCCACGACTTGCGACTGCACGCTGGCCGACCGCGTGCGGACGGGAATCTGCGCGACAGACTCAGATATCGCAGCATTGCCGGTCTCACCCTTGCTGCTCGGGCAGTCTGCCTTTCTGTGGTGCCTAAGTCTGGTCCCAGGTCCTTGGCGAACACCTGGATGCCCAGGAGTGCACAAAGCTTCCCGGCTGCGTGTAGAGTTGGCTCTCTGTTCTGGGGGGGGTGGTTTCCCACAACCCAGACTGCTGGCCTCAGGTCATGCTGTGTCGGCGTCTTGGAAGTTTGCTTGCCCAGGGTAAGACGTAATTTCTACTTCAGAGTCAGAACGGGTCGCTCGCCCTCCCTCCTCTCCCTCTACGTTTCTCCCTCCGGAGCATTTCATGACCGAGGGCTTTGCTTCTGTTGCTCCTCCCTTGGCGCTCGTGGCAATCGGCCTCGCCCTGAGCAGCGGAGCGCGAGGAGGTCTAGGCACAAGGATTCATCTTGGCTGTAGATATGCTCAGGACGAGTACGACGAGAACATGAAAGTGTATTGGTCTGTTCCTGCTAATGATGCCATCATGCGATCTACTTTGAACGGATCAGATCTGGAGCCGGAACCTAAGACGGAGAATTATCAGTTGCAGTTCCGCATACTGCCGTGGGCAGCAGCTGGTGATCGGAGCAGCATGTGACATGCCGAGAACCTGTCCGCCAAAGTTACCTGTCCACACCGAGGATCTATCGGAGCGGGCTGACGAATCCATATGGAGTCGTGGTGGACAAGCCGACTGCGACGCAAACCCGACCTGTGCTGTGCAGATTGTTTCATGTCGCTTGGTTCAGTCGCGGCAGGTGCAGGAATTTTTTTTGTGAATGGTGGGGCAATGTCATGGCAGGATCTATTGGTCTGCTCAGCAGGCGATTCAACGTGCTTGGCTTCCGGATGACAGCGGCGCTGTTGAGGATTCTTGTGGCGTGAGTCATAGCGCAGCATGAGTTCGGCGAGATCCAGCACCCATTGCAGCATCGTAGCCGCTTAGCCTCCAAGTGCAAATGTTAGCTGGCCTTTGACACGAACGATTAGTAAATCTTCCTGTTCTCGGGGGGTTGTTCAACTGAAGAAGAGTGCCTCGGCTTTCGCAGGACTGGGTCAACGCGTCTGCAGGCCATTTCTGCTTCGCGAGCTGCCGGGTGCAGAAGCTGCCTGGGAATTCATGTGTTGCCAGGACTTCGGTCTCCCATGGGCCTAGCGCAGCAGCCCGTGTGTTCACTGCGGAGATTCTGCGAGTAGGAAGCAGGGGGCGTCGTGCCGAGGTTGGACGAAAAGAATCGAGTTCTCTACTGGGCGGATCAGACCTTGGGAAAGGCACTCTGCATGTCTTGACAAATCGGAAGCTGCAGAAGGCAGGCATGATCATGCGCCAGCGAATAGCCCTCAGAATCGAATGGCTCCTTCACCAAAAAATCTAAGCGTCAGCACGGGAGGGGGGGGGTTTCGGACCCCCCTCACCCCGCCCTGTTGCCTGATCAATTAGGAAGGCTCTCGCCCCTTCAAAGGTTCGGTAAGTAGGCAACACAGCTGCAGCGGACATCAGCACAACTGATTACAGCAGCCTTGCCTCAGAACCAGGTTTCGCGTTTACCGCAGGTTTCTTCTGCGCCGAGATTCGGCATTAGCACCGACGAATTTGCAGGAAGACAAACGTTTCAGAGTTGATTTTGCCATGCATCGTTCAGCGCAGGCTTGGGCTTTCGACAACGCATGCAAACTCAACTTCCCTAATTAGCAAGTTCAGCTGCTTGCCGACCAGTTCGCAACAGCAGCGAGCGCTGCATCACCTCCGCTTGCGGTCCCACTTTCGTCCGCTCTGCTCTCATGTTCTGTGATGCTCCTAGATTCCTAGATTACCCCAAGAAGCGGGTCCTCGCATTTTAGTTCAAGAGTAATGCGTAAAGCTCTCGAGAAGCGGATAAGGTTTCTCACGGCCCAAAGTGTGACAAAGGCCGGAAGATGTTCGGGTCAGGATGCTGCATCCAAACATACCGGCACAGAGAGTGGGTCGAGGTCAGCCCACGTCTAGAGCACCAAGTCTAAGTCCTCTTGGCCAAGGAGGAGCGCAACCACTGGATTGAGCTTTGTCTGCTTCCCGATGACGAACAAACACGCTCAGGGGCAGACGTACCCGTTGTTGACCAGCATAAATCAAATCCAGAAGCGTGGTGGGTCTTGTCACACCAAAAGGCAGGCAACCTGAAGATGCTGAGGCGACCAGGCTAGAAATGGTACCACATACAGTGGAGGAATGGAGGGACCGGGAGACAGAGAGCGAGAAGATCCCGTGCAACCTCTGCATATGAACTAGTGACCTGGACAGATTCAGCGGAAACCCCTTGACGGCGGGTCGAGACCTGAGCCAGAGTTGACATGTTGCAAGGGTCTTCTCGACCATGGCTGTGCAGACCAGTTAACACAGGCCAATTGAAGATGTGGCAGACAACATCGAAGAGCCCAGCGGAGTTGCAGTGGATGCGGAGGGTGGCCAGGCTTGACGCATCTTAGTTGTGAGCACTTGTTGGCTACATTGCGTTTTGCTCGATGATGTTAGCTAGACTCTATCATAGTTTAGCTATCACCTTCTTTCGAAATCGCAGATAAGCAAACCAATGCCCTAATGGCACGTTGGCAGAGGTGCACGAAATAGCTTCGCTTGTTGCAGCGATTGTCCAATCTTGCAGGCAGTCCTTCCGAGTGCATGGGCACTTTGTTTTGTAATCGGGCAACGGCAAAGTGCAGGAAGATATCATTAAGGGCCACTTCCCACGACACGGCTAGAGCTGGCCAGGTCTTCTTCCTGAGCTTTGATTTAGGAATTGCTGGCGCCTCAAGATTGGTGAGTTCTCGGCTTTGGAAGCCCGTGAACTGGACAAAGGTGTACGGCCGCGACATCGACCTTTCGCAAGACAAGTACGAGGTAGACCTGCTTTGTCAAGGGCAGTGCTTGCTGAGTTCTGCGGAGACTCAGCCTAACGGACTCACTTCTACAGCCTGCACGCTATTTTGCAGGTGGCCACCACGTATTCTCCGTATGGAATTGTCGTGGATGCGACCAATGAGAAGCTGCTCGGCCTAAGTACGTCGTAGAGTTTTAGAGTGCCCAGGGGCAACAGGGCAACAGCAGCAGATGAACGTCTGACGTCTGTAGGCAGTGGCAGATGATCCAGAGCCCCGATGTCGCTAGACTCGACCTTGGCGGACAGGCTGTACTGGTCGAGCCGATCCGACAACGAGATTCAGCGCTCGAGCCTCAAGCTCCGATAGTCAGCCTCGGAGCCATCGCCATTTGCATGAGCCCGCTAGAAGCCGCCAGACCTGCTTGAGGCTGGGATATAGGCTTCTTTGGCCAAGCTCCGGAGACCTTCCTGTCTGGCCGGAAGCCCTGTTGAACAACGTCATGTAGCAGAGCTTCTGAGGATTCTCGGAATCTTTCAGGTTTGAACAAGCCAATGGGGCTTACCATCGAGCTCGCATCCTAGAGTGACCCGAAGGTTGTTCAGTCTCGATTTGTTGTCTCGACTTTTGATTTGGCGTGCTTCGTTCCAGTACCCTACCTTCAGCAGCGTGGTGAGCAGAAGTTCACAGAGCGAGGTTAAACTGATCTTTGAGAAAGCCCGGATTGGCTCAAGCTAGAAGAGGCTCAGTCACGCATCAAACTCCCACCCACAGCGCCCGCAGAAACGACAC